ACCTCCATTGGTGTATTATTGGTGCAATGCTGCTCTCTGGACACAGTGTGACTATCTGGCTTTTTATGTGATGGTGTAATCTGGATTTGTCATCTCGATGTTGCTTATTTTCCTTGCAATTTGGTATCGGAGCTGGTTCATATTGCGCTTCATTGGTTCTTCGCAATAGCTATTGGTGCTTCGCATGAGGTGTGGGGCAGTGATAAGGCATTGGCGTTGAACATTAGGCGGCCCAGGGTAGTGTGGGCGCGCCAGGGAGCAATGTGGTGACATACGGGGTGTATGCTGGATGATGAGAGATCGCTGATGTGGCATATTAAGCCGAGGTGGAAACGCATTCTGCTGTTGGTTGTGCCAAGGCAAAGACCGGTCATCATAATTGCACATCAGGTTGCCGGTGAGAAATCTGTGGTTGGGGGCAGCATTTATGAGGTACGTTGCTCTCTTCCTTATCTACCCTCTTCGTTACTTCTTACCGTGAGGAAGTGAGTTCTGTCTTGAGAGTCCTCTCGATGTGAGGTGTCGCGACCGCTCAACCTTGAGAGTCGACATTCTTCCTGGGCAGCAAGCTGGTGGGAGACGGGCGAAGCCTCTGAAGGGCCCTGGACGAAGCACTCGGGTCACGGTTACCATGCCAACCCGCTGGGACTAGTACACGCACGCTTTGACGCAAGTCCTTGGTTCTGCTGCTTGCGCAATAGAGGTCATGCAGGGCATGCCAGCCCTTTGACAGACGCTTACCAGACCGTCTGTAAACATTTCTGGTTGGGGACTCGGAATTGAATTTGGTTGTGATCGTCGTCCTGTCTGCGACGTTAAATAATTCCTAAGGAGATGGGGGCTCTCCTTAAAACCCTCCTGATCAGCTAGATCAACCGGGTGTAAGGCTGGCTGCATGCGAGGGTAAATAAAAGTGCAGGGGCTGGCAGGTTCGGCGTTGACTTGGGGCACAGGGGTGGGCCGGATTGCACACCTTCAGACACGCTGCTCAACCAGATGCTCAGGACGTTGACACAAAGTGACCACTCAAGAAGGATACAGGGGGAGGGGGGATTCCGGTAACTGCTCGCAGTGGCAATCAACAGACAATCTGCCATGAAGCAGACATCTCCAACAGGAGATGTTATTTTTATTTTGATTATCTAGTTGTTACAGACTTGACTAACAATTGACAGACAACTACAGACATAGTAGATCTTTGCTGTATAGCAATCTGTTCTAGGATAATCTAAAAATAGATATGATATTTCTTGTAGGGTCTGACATTAGTTGTTACTATATCAACTAACTGTTTCTGTTCCATCCGACCGAAATTAGTTGTGTTTCATGATCGGTTGTGTGTCAGGCTAAGGTAGGATTCAGTGTGGCTCATGAGTGATGCAAGCACTAGTGAGGAGTGGTAGTGGACGACCGTAGGACTACTCGGGGGACTGCCCGTAGTCGACCCTTGACATTCTTGGAGTTAGGTCCAGGAGACGAGAGAAGATTGCAGAGAGAGGCTAGAGAGAGAGCAGCGGCAAGAAGAGCGAGGGCAGCTGAGGATAGTGCCAGGACTAGAGTTTCAGCTAGCACCGGTGCAACCATGGCTACCTCATCTAT